CATTTTTACACTCGATGAATCCCCGAGCAACAACAAAACATTGGGATTCAATCTTAAGAAAGAGCCAAAGTTCTTTGGCCGTGTGGATCTAGCGGTACCCTTTCGATTATCAAAGTGCAGTTACGTCGGTCGCGATCGGTATTTGGATGGGTGACCGCGACCTCTCTCCCCTCATCTCATCTCTTATGAGAAATAATATTAATAACTTGTTATTATTCGTTGATTTTCCTAAATAAATAAATTAGCCAATCGGCTAAATAATTTAGCATTCACAAAAGCAAAAGAATTAAGAAAAAGATATGAAGATATTTTTAAAAAGATTAGAAAATGGCCAACAATAGCTTTATGACGAAAAAAGGATTATTCACTATTTCTCACACATTTGATCATCAAAGTAAATTACAAAGTATTTACATTTATAATAGAGATATCACAGTTCTTATGAAACACGTACACATAAAAAAAATAAAAAACAAAATCCTTTGCGATATAGTGTTTTTGTATTTGTTAATAGTTCCGAAACAAAAGAAATTAGAAGCGGGAGATTATATTCTCTCTCCACGAATCCTCCAAAATTCCAGCATGCTTTGTATATCATTATTTCACGTTTCACGGCCACTCGTCCAGACACTTGTTCACACGTTGCAAACCACGCTTTTACGTATCCACAATCCTCCAATAAAATTAGTGGCCGTCGTCGTGACGGGCTTACCGAGAAGCGCGTACATCCACGTCGTCGCCGACGACGAGGAAGCGGCGGCATCCTCGATGAGCGCAGAAGGCCTCTCGCCTTCCCTCTTCTCGGCCAATGCCCTCGTGCTTCGAGGGTTGTCTCTTCGACGACGACGAGGTCCGTGTGCGCGCCTCTTCTCGCGTGTGCCACAGCCGAGTTCCTCGAACGCGCTACACCACCACACGCCACGTGCTTACCGACGAAATTAGAAAAAAGGCGCGGATCGGCGGGGTTGTGTGTGTTTCCACCTCGACCCACACACGATGTGCACGAGGAAGGACCCCACAACGCGTGTGCCGGCAACCTTCGCGATCGTTTACCGTGCCACTACTGTTCCACAGAGTTGTGGTGGTGGTTGTGGTGGTGGTAACGGCGACCGACTTTGCGAACTCACGCGCATTCTTCACCCGGAGACGGCCAACGAACACTGAGCGCGGGTGGGCGGTGGTGGTGGACCCCGGACCGTGGTGGAAGTGGAAGAAACACCGATGCTTAGATCCTGCCGCGCCGCGGATTAACCACGGCCGGACCACGTGCTTGCTCTCCTGCCACACACACACACAGGTGGGAGTTACCTAAACTCTCTCTCTCTCTCTCTTTCTCCGTTCTCCTTGCTTCTCGCGTTCTTTCTCCGTCAACTTTCCCTTTGGCGTCTTCCGTGTTCCTTCTCTCGACAGTCGCTTTCGCGAATCGACAGTTCGGTGTCGACTATTGTGTGTTGGTTACGAAGAATTAAAGTGGAGTTTGCTGCTGCGATGCGCGCTATGTAAATATAATACGTTTAATTTTCGTCGAATTTCGTCGAGTTGTAAACCGATTTATTAAAACCAATGCTTGTACTTTGAGGAGGAGAAGGGATATCGCTCGGTATCTTTTGAGGTAGAATAGCGAAACTTTTTCAAAGATAATCACCGATTGTTTTATTTCCTCGTGAAAATTCTTTATCTTATTCTTTATCTTTATATTAATTATTTATTCTTTCTTTACCATTAATCGCTCGCAACAACGAGAAATCGTTTTTCGCGGGTATTTTCAAACTTGAAAATATTTTCGCGAATATTTTGGCGGTAAATTCGAAACAGGATGGGACCAGGCCACGCCGGTTGCGTGTCGCAGGCGTAAGTGGGAGTGACTGAAACCGCCTACACCTCGGTGATGGTACCGGGACCCATCATACGCAGGTCTAATCCCTTGGGAAGGTGCAACAGGAGACCAATAAACGTTCACGCGCTGCCTCCTCGTCCCGAATCGCTCGAAATTGGTCTTCAAAGTTTTAGAAAGGTAGAAAATTAGGTAGAAAGGTATATTTTTATAATTGTATTTATTATACGAAATTAAATTATTATTTTTCGATCAACACGCTTAATTAATATTAAACTAGTTCTTTTAATTTCATTCGCCGTTATCTTTCGTATGACACTAATAATCGAGTCGAATTATATCGTACAAATTTCTTCATTTTTCTTATCATCTTATTCGTGTGATCTCTATTTTTTTTTCTATTCATTCCAAAGTTTGTAATACAAATTACGATTATTACACGTTTTTTTTTCGTATTGCAATATATGGATAAATTTAATATTTTAAAGCTAAGTTAAGAAAGTATGGTTATTGAGAGCTGTAATGAAAGTATCGATGATGCAAAGGAAAAAAAAAAATAATGTTAAACATCGAGATCAGTGTTGGATTTCCTTATATAGCGAATATATAAGATATTTAGGGGTGTAATAGGAGAGAAAGGAAAAGAAAAAAGTAGAAACTGTGGAAACGTTCACTCGTTGTCTCGAAATTCGAAGGAAGAGCGCGGACAATAAGGGTGCCATCCCCTTCGAAGGGGTGAAAAGTTTCAATAAGGTTAACGCGAGGGTTACTCTGATTCCTGTGAAAGGCGAGGATTAATCTCGTGCAAAATAGAAATCGAAACGAATGCAAAGATCATAATGATTAATTTAATCGTCCAAATCGAGCAATACATCTCAAGCTATCAGTTTGATTAGACATTTTATTATATAAATATATATACATTTAATCCTTAAATTACTCGTTTTTATAAGTTTATTCATATCTATATATACTACATTTACAGTTGGGTAAATGAAGCGTGTTGTAAATTGTATTTTATCCTTTTGTTTCTTTTTTTTATTTGTGTATTTTCGCACGCCATTTGCATTTTGTCCATAATTCGCTCCTCTTTATCTCTCGCAAATGTATACATTTCGATGATAAGAATTTACACATGACACTCGAGCTCTCGAGGCATCGTCACCTTTAAAAATATATGCATTTTAAGGAATTTCTTCCCGATATCTATCACGGGAAGCCGGTTAAATGCGAATTGTTCGGGCCAGACGTTAATACCAACATATTTCACACTGCGTATGTGCGTGTGTGCTGTTCGATAGAAATCGTTATTTCATCGAGTCGATAAATACGCGTGAATATTTCTTAAAATTAAAACGCGAAAAAGATGGAAGAGGAATAATAAGAAAGAGATATATTTTCAAATATATCCCATTTTTCTGATTTCTTTTCTTTCAGAAAAATTTAGAAGAAACTTTTCAAAGTTTTCTAAATTGTTGGAAGAAATATTTAAAGTGCAAAATGAAATTGATGAAGCTTGAAAATTCTCGGATACTACGACAGATTATTCTTGGACAACAGAGTTACGTTTTTGTGTTTTTACGTTGTCGTACGATCGAAATTCATCGAAGAAAATCGTCGTTTGCGAACTCGTTGTAAAGACTCTTCCTGTAAACAACTCGAAGAAGGGAACTGCGCGAGGGTGGTTGTGTTTTATGAAAAAAGTTTCTCTTATTTTATCGATATCTGATAAGCTTATGATAAATATTTATACTTGTATGTTTACAACAATTTTTCTTTTTCTTTTTTTTTCTTTTTTCGCAATCAATAGATATAAGAATTTGAGAAATTTTATTTTACTTTAAAAAATAAGTTTAGCGCGCGCATTTTAAATAATTTTAAGAAATTTATCATTATTCTTCTTTTTTTCTCTCTTTTTTACATAATTCGAGCAAGCTTTCTACGCTTCGTGTATCCACCTTATTAGAAAGAGGCACGTGCGTATTAATCACAACTTTTGCACTGTAAAAATTGGATTCATATCATAGTGGAAAAGAACTTGGAAATTTCTTTAATAGCAATCGATTCTTTTATCGAAGTTACGCATTATCTATTTTTATTTCCTTAGTGAACGATAATTCGCCTTTGTCTTTACTTTCAAAAGTTTAACGATAATTACACGTCTTTCGCGATAATGGAATTTTCTAAAAAAAAAAAAAAAAAAAGAAAAAAAATCATCAGTCCAATACAATAAATCCAATTACACAAAAATCATAATCCCAAATTCAAAATTTTCTCCAATAAAAATTCGCGCCCCCTTCGAACAACCAAACCAATTGAAAAATCGAAGAGATCCACCTTCTTCGCTACGACACGTGTCCGATGCCTCACGCGACTCCCCCCTCCCCAATTGTTGCTCCCCAAAACCTCTCTCTCTCTCTCTCCCAAGCGCACGTTCGCGTTTAATTAA